GCATTTAATCCAAGGCAGGTCTTTCGGCTTCTAATACAAACAAGAGGCAATTACATAACACACACTCATATGAAGGTAAAAATTCTGCTAGCTAAATTGCAAAATCAGGCATCCAAAAACGGGTTGGGCAAGGGAGAGGAAGAAGTTTCAGCCTTCCACGTAACTGACTTATGTCTTTTAATGCATGCTACTCATGTACTGAATGAAGCAAGGTTCTGTAGGGTAAAAATATGAGAATATGATCTATTAAACTATATAGCCATTTCTACACAAAAGGGCAAATGGGTAAACTGAAGTTGCACAAGTAGCCATAAAAGTAGCATTTCCTCATTTCTGAGTCCTTGAATATCCACATAAACTGTACCTTTTAATACTTCCCCCCCACCTTAGAAGTTTCCTAATTTTTTTAAAGGGGCTTAAATTCCTGTATATATACTTCCCACAGCTTGCAGTAATGTGGAGGTTTGAGATTTAGCCTTAATTTGAGCTGTTGAGAAATGCAATCTGAACTGGAGGAATAGTTAGCTGACAAAGGGATAGAGACTTCCAGAGACGAAAGACATGGAGCTGGGTAAGAATCCTGGCCAGATGCCCATTTATCTTCTCCCCCATCTCTCATGAGCTACATATAGACGCTTCCGTCCTGTATGATGTTCCCAAAATACAGGATGGATTATTGCCATGCCTCTCCCCACCCCCACAAAAAAATTAAACCAATGTTTGTTTTATCTGCCTCTTTACTGACTTCACACTTTCACTTTCTTTTCCCCAGATGTCATATTCTATGAACTTTATTAAAACAAAACTCAACATCAACGTACAATTTCACCAAAGTGCTAGTAAAACATGTTCTGCATTAATACTCTGTATGAGTCACAAAAATACACTTAATCTATATGAGCATATTATAAGCCTTTATAAGTATACTGACATGGGAGATGTTTTCTAAATTTACATTTTAAAAGAACGCATTTTAACTATGTAATAACCTAGATCATTTAATAGCAGCACTTCCATCTACAGAACTTGAGAGACAACAACTGTCGTTCATTTCTGTGTGTCATGCTCTTACAGTCTGACTGTACTACCCAAGTTCAGCGAGACAGCTACAAGCACACAAGCTTAGAGGCGAAAGACTCAGTGGGATTCTGCATTATGATCCACCTGGACAACAGACTCTTTGTCTGCTAGACACCTTAAAGAAGAACGACTAAGAACTCTTTCACACAGAAAGTTTATTCCAAACAAAACTACTAACTCAGGTAATAAATTTTAGTGCTTAAACAAATACCTTTTTGTTTTTCTTTGAAGAGGACTGTCTTAACAACAAACTCTTTAGAGCAAGGAATACTAATGGAGAATTACCCTAACTCAGCCTCCCACAACAGTGTTTTACTTACTAACTTGGGATACAGTAAGAGAGGAGTGTACAGCCTGATCATCATTAATTCCCAGAAAATCTCTGGCATCAGGAATAGCCCCATGAGAACGGTGGTAGTCACTGTTAATGAGAAGCAGCCAGGAGGAACCTCCCCCTGAGCTCTCACTTCTAAATGCCTTTCAGTGCAAAAACACAATCTAATGCCGAAGATCAGGACCTCTGTTCTCCACTGACAAGTTACATCTGACAATTTCTTTTTGTACTGTTGCTACAGTCATAATCCAGTCTTAAGACAGACAATGATTACCTGTCTACAGAGGAACTTCAGATTCCTCTTAGGCTTAGCTATAACATGATTATGTGCAGGCAATCTCTTAAGAGCACAGAAGTACAAAATATTTTATTCCCCTTATAAAAACTCACACCTAAACGTGATGAAGCTAAAAAATCCAACATTCAAAATTCCAACACATTCAACAAAAAACACGTCAGTACACAATCTACTCCAGAGTACAAAACAAGCAACAATTAAGTGCTACATTCAGCATGAAATCTAACCACTTTCACCGCTGAATTTAAAAGAATTGCTTGGTCCACAGATGGATGACTAAGTCTCCCTAGCAATTCCTCTAGTCTCACAGTAAGAAATTACTTGAAATGACATAAAATTAAAATAGTGGTAACACAAAACAACAGCAAATACACTGGATCCAATATTGCTATAATAGTTAAAATAATTCAGGGACAAGTTTTAAAAGTAGATGGTACGTGCTTACTAATATCGTTATCAGAACACCTGGATCTCCTCTGACTTCTTTTATTGGAGAAATTAAAAGTACCTCACAAACAATTAAACTCAATTAGGTCATCCAAATTGTTTGTATGATTGTTGAAAGCCTCCAAATTGAGGCTTCTTATTTAAATGGTTCCATGTGGACCAAAACAGTCAATGTTTTCATTTGACTGTAGATATTTCATTCTGAAAATTTTAACTTTGTTGACTTAATCAAGAAATCCCAGACAGGACTACTACATTCCCTTTCAGAATCAAGAAACATCTAAGAATTCCTGTCCTATCCTTTGTGGGGTTTTTTAAGCAGAAAGCATTGTCCCATGATCTGAGGTCCTCAACATTAGTTAAAACAAATACTGGAGAGCTAGATTTGATTTAAACTGACATTAACATGAAGATAATTAAAAATCATTATTACTAATGGGAGGAAACAGCTGATATTTTCAAAAACAGTTCTCATGATTCTGACTCAGTCATTCAGACATATGATGCTTTGTGAAACTTCCAACTGGTTAGCGTAACAGAAGTTACTGTCACAAGAACTTGTAATGAATTATGAAATTCATGAACTTCTCTTTCTAAATTAAGATTTACCAGTTTCTCTCATCAGCCTGCCCTAACGAAGAGGATGTTGGTGAAACTGGAAGGATAAAGAACAATTGTTCAAAAAATACAATCATTTTTACTATGACAGAAGCAACAATACACTTGGAGCTATCACAGTATTTTAACCAATACAGTAATTCAGCACATACTTCACAACACAGAGAAAGCACTAAAATAGTACTGAGCAAGGTTAGAAAATACCAGAATTAAAGTTGTTCTTGCAAACAACATGCACGCACAGTGCAGTCTTCTCTGTCAAACAGTTACGTACACACAAGATTCTTCTGGGCCCAAGAACTACTGCCTCAAATGCAAGCAAAAAAGCCTTACAATTCCTGAAATTCCATAGCTCATTCGTAGACTACACTCTTAATTGAACGAGGCAGCTTATAGCACACAGCAATATAGGTGTACGTAATTAAAGACTATACTGTAAACCACACAGAAGTAAACTTGACTCTGCACTAGTCTTCAGTACTTTACACCTGATTTTCCAGTGTCTATAGACAAAGTTCTCCTTAAGTAACTTTGCGCGTTTTGAGGGCCGTTTTTTTTCTTCCCACTCTGCATCCTAGAACTCACAAAACAAACTAAGCCTGAGGAGCTACATCCCTCCATCACAGGACTGAACAGGATCACCAGGTCAGAACTGAGGAGAGGCAAGTGTGGGGTGTGCTGTATCACAGCCTATCTACAAGCAGCAAGACAACCATGAAGTAAACACACTAACTTGGAATACATCAGACAAGGTATTGCCCATGAAGATAAGGCAGCAGTAGTATTGTTGTATGTACAACAGAAAATACATTCCTGATTACACTTTTGAAGGAAGAGGAGAGCAAGACGTCCCTTTTCACTTGAAGATAAGGATGGCTAAATAAGCTCGATACAAGAACTGACAATACTCGATAAATACATCTATCTGCTGTACTGGACACTAAGAACACCTTGCCTATCTCTTAATACATTAACGGTATTGTTTGTATTAATAATAAGGGGTTATGAAACACACAGTGTTTTTAACACCAATACACTGACTCCCAGACCAGAATAGGCAACCTGAGTGGAAAACGTTCTTCTAGATACAGCCCCTGCATCCTGTCAAAAATACCAGTTTCATACTTGCCAGCGTGAACAAACCTCGGGAGCACATTTAAGACAAAAGTCATGAAGGAATTACATGGCTTGGGACACAGATAAGAATATTCAGAGCTTTTGGCAACTATCCGCAAACCAAGCTCCACAAAGTACATATAAATATCAAATTTTCCAAAGTTTCTATCTCAATCAACTCAAAACATATTTCACAGCAGAAGACAACACCAAGCAATTCCTTGTCCACATGGTTATGCTCATGCTTCAACTCTCAAAAAAACAGCTCTTTCCCCTCCCATTGGTGAAAAAAAACTAACTTGCACATCCATATTAAACAAACTTAAATTCTATTTTAGTGCCAAATCGGATTACAATGCTTACAGCAATCACAAAAGTCATATGAACATACAGAAACTTTGTCTTGCCACAGACTCAGTGACAACATTCTAAATATTTTGGTAGATTGGGTTGCACCTTCCAAAATTCCACAAGCAGAGGATGAACAAAAGTTACATAGAAAATATCGATAACTCTCACACATATCCCCAAAAGCCCCAATGTCTCTGGCTTTTTGCATTCTGATGTCATCATATCATTACTGACCCAAATCTCCATCTAAGATCTATCCACAGAACTGAAAACTATTGCACACAAAGAAAGTTCAGTGTTGAGATCTGGTAAGACGCAGGAACTACTCCTCTCAATTTGTTTTCATCTTTTTACTAGCAATTTGGTTGTCAGCCAGCCAGACTCCATGCTACTCGTTATCTTCCAAGCGTAACCAGTAGCTCAGCGCACAGACAGCCTTAGAGAAACCACACACCAGGCAGAGTTGTGAAACGCCAGAGCAAGGGTTTAGCGTTCATCAGTCTAGGAGCGACGCTCGGAGAGCGCTTTAGCGTCCTTCTCTTCTCTTCCCTTCCCTTCCCTCCCCTTCCCTTCCCTTCCCTTTCCTTTCCCTTTTCTTACAGAGAATATGAAAACCCTCAGGTGTGTGTGAATGCCCATGCTTTCTCTAGAAGAAGCTGCCTGCACAATTCCTTTGTGAAACAACACATCAACAAGAGCTCTATCTTGCAGCTCTCCTGCCTGGCAAGTGGGAAAAAGAAAGATCTACAACACAGCATGGAGAGAGGGGAATGGGACAACCAGACGTTGCTGATGGAGTTCCTCTTGCTGAGACTAGGGGATGCCCATAAGCTCCAGACACCTCTCTTTCTCCTCTGCCTGACCATATACACAGTGACCATGGTTGGGAATGTCCTCATCATTGTGCTGGTGGTCATAGACCCGCATGTCCATACAGCCATGTACTTCTTCCTGGTGAATCTATCCAGCCTAGAGACCTGCTACAGCTCCACCATCCTGCCCAGGCTGCTAGCCAGCTTCCTGACTGGAGACAGGACCATCTCTGGGCAGGGATGTATGGCACAGTTTTTCTTCTTCGGCACTTTTGCAACTTCTGAGAGTTACCTGCTGGCTACCATGTCCTATGATCGGTATCCGGCCACGTGTCAACCTCTGCTTTATGCAAGCCTCATGAACTGGAAAGTATGTCTCCAACTGGTGGCTGGATCATGGGTTGTGGAACTGCTAATTTCTACAGGTATCATATCTTTCATATGTCGCCAAACGTTCTGTGGCCCCAGTGCAATTGACCATTTCTTCTGTGAAGAAGCTCCATTGCTAGAACTCTCCTGCACTGACATTACGATGATCAGAATTCTTATTATTATATTATCTTTCCTGGACGTAGTTTTCCCATTTCTGTTCACTTTGGCATCTTATGTCTGCATGATAGCTGCCATCCTGAGGATCCCATCCAGCATGGGGAGGCACAAGGCCTTTTCCACCTGCTTCTCTCACCTCCCTATGGTCATTGTTTTCTGTGAGACCCTCATCATTCTCTACATGCTGCCCAGAACAGCACCACTGAGACAGCTCAACAAAATGTTCTCCTTTTCTTACTCAGTCCTCAGACCTCTCACCAGTCCACTCATCTACAGTCTGAGGAACAGAGGCATCAAGGGGGCAGTGGGGAGGGTGCTCAGGAGGGTGCTGCCTGCACTGGCAGCTCCAACCAGGTGTGGATTTCAGAGCACAAATCTGGTTCTCCTGCAAAGTGACGAAAGGAACATAGGAAGGAATGTGCTCCATCTCAAGAGTACCTCTGCAAATGTCTGGCTTTCACCTAGGATGTGCAATGGCAAGAGGCAGAGGGAGAAGAGGGCCTAGCGAGGTGGGTGTCGGTCTCTTCTCCCAAGTAACAAGCGATAGGGTGAGAGGAGACGGCCTCAAGCTGCACCAGGGGAGGTTTAGATTGGATATTAGGAAAAATTTCTTCACCGAAAGGGTTGTCAGGCATTGGAACAGGCTGCCTGGGGAAGTGGTTGAGTCACCATCCCTGGAGGTATTTAAAAGACATGTAGATGTGGTGCTTAGGGACATGGTTTAGTGGTGGACTTGGCAGCGCTAGGTTAGCGGTTAGACTCGATCTTAAAGGTCTTTTCCAACCTAAACAATTCTATGATTCTATGAAATACGAGTCGAAGAAGAGGGCAGCTTCCTGCAAAAACTTAATATTGATCCACTAAACTTTGATATTTGTAGAGAGATTCCTTACATATCTTGGTAAACAAATACCGAGTCGAAGAAGAGGGCAGCTTCCTGCAAAAACTTAATATTGATCCACTAAACTTTGATATTTGTAGAGAGATTCCTTACATATCTTGGTAAACAAATACAATGGAGATCCTAATGGATGTAATCTTTATCCTATTCCCATGAAAGAATTGGTCTTTGTAAAAACTTACTTTGATAGTTTGTCAACTAATTTAGAGATCCCACCCACTTTCAAATACTAGCTCTGATCTTCCAAAGTTATTTGCATTTGATTGTGGCTGTAAAATGGGAGGCAAGGTTGAAACCTTTCTGAGCAGAATTCCTAGGAAGAATATTCTGTGAACCTCCGTTTTATTTACAGTAGCTTTAAAGGGAGTATCTTCTTCTAGAATATCTAGCTTTACTTGCCACTGAACTGGAGACAGGAGGAAAATGTGTGATTTATTATATGCTTTCAAAATACAGTTCCCTGGTTCTCTTTCAAAATACAAAATTCCATGAGTTGTACTGGAATTCAAAGATGATCTGTTAGCATAAAGTATCCTTCAGACCAGAAATCACAAACTGAATGGAGACTAAAAAATGATGCATCAATAACTGCAAGGAATGGCAATCATAAACAAAACAGACCATGTTAACAAAAGTGCTAAAAATACGTTTTATTCTTACTAGGAAGGGAGTTATGCTACACAATCAGTTTCTCTGTTGCAAATTGTAATATATTCTATGGCAGGGGTTAAATGCAGTTTGGAAAATAGGAGAGGATGTCTTGAAATCAGAATTTCCAATGCAGTGAGAGTACTGCTGTGCTCATTATACATAACCTTAGCTAAGCCACCCAGGTCTGTCTGCACTCTCAAACTTTCTTGTTCAAGTCTTAGAAATGGTCTAACTATAGTAGCATGGAGTATCAGATTGGTTAATTTACTCTGCAGTATACCTAAGTTCTCCTTGCTTTGGTATTCCCATCTGTAACTGGGGATCGTACTATTTATTATTTCAGAGTTAGAATATTTTAAGATCTTTTGTGCTCCCCGGATGAAAAGTGTTATGAAAGCAGAGTATAAATTTTAGGGGCCGATGCTGGATAAGAGAGGAACTATAGGCAGGACACTGAAAATTGCTAACATAAATCAAATCATCAGCTGGGCAGACAGGGGTCCTGAGCAGGGGTTAAAACTGGCAAAGGACAGAAGGAATTCAGATGAATGACTGAAATCTGGAAGATTTAGGTGAGGAATCGGCAACTGAGAAGGGCAGTTATATTTATATATCTGAACTGTTTTTTTTGTTTGTTTGATTCAGCATCTGGTTATACCAACCAGAAACTGGTTTAATCCAAAATAAAGACTCTTTAACTATTGTTTAGCAGTACCAGTGAATAGTCTGTCCTGAGTGGAGTAGAGGGTAGATTTAGATTAGATATGAGGAAGAAATTCTTTACTGTGAGGGTGGTGAGACACTGGAACACGTTGCCCAGAGAAGTTGTGGATGTCCCCTCCCTGGAGTTGTTCAAGGCCAGATTGGATGGGGCTTTGAGCAACCTGACCTAGTGGAAGGGGTCCCTGCCCGTGGCGCGGGGGTTGGAACTAGGTGATCTTTAAGGTCCCTTCCAACCCAAACCATTCTGTGATTCTATGAGTAATACTTTCCCAAGTTCAGGTAGAGGTACCAAGTAGAGAATACAAAAATCTACTTTGTAGCTTGGAAAAAAATATGGCAGGAGTGTCTGTGGAATGCAAGGTCAGATACGTAGAAGGACTTGGCAAATAAAATTATTTGGATGAGTTGATTAGGAACTTTGCTACTTTGGGTGTGAACATCTGCTGGAAGGTCGTGCTTGAAATCCAAAAACTAGAAACAAAAATCTGCAATCCTAATATACCACCAAAAGTTGTTTTAGTTTGTGAGGATGACTAAGAAATTACATTCCCTTCACGCTGATTCACACTGAATCGTTACCTCTACTTTCTCCTTTATGAAACTATACTCTAAAATCTCCAAAGAACAAGTGCTGAAGTACATTTAACATCTCAGAGTCTCTGATATCTGTGCTTGTAATATCGGACTTGCTCCTGAAAAGCACTGGAACTACGTAAGGAAAAGGTTAGGAATGAATCTGTAATATATTTTCATATCTTTTCATCGCAGAAGGTTTTGATCCTGAGATCTGTTGACCATCATTAACCAGAGCACTTACCAGGATGGGTGAATGTTTAAAACAGGGTGGGGTGGAGGGGGAATGGAAATAATGGACAAACTTACCAAGACCACATTATTTTAGGTTGATAGCCTCTCACAAGGAACTCATGGTGTTGAGGCTACTGTGCTGGAGAGTAAGAACCCCCACCCCACTGGCCTTGCAGGAACTTGTACTGTGCCTATTTCCCAGCCATAAATTTGCAAAAATTTTGTGTAGATGTAACTATGGTAATTTATAAGTTTATAGCTTGAAAATATAATTGTACTGGAACATATCTCTTAGCAGGCATAACATTTCACCTAAATGTGTGGGCTAGCTAGAAAGAGTTCTTGACTGCCTGTCTTGTGGAAAAGCATGGCATTATCTGAGGAAAAGCCAGTACTTCAGTCTGGTAACAAAGCGCAGTAAAATATTTTTCCACTCACATTTTCCAAACACTGTTCTGTTCTAAAACAAACCCTTCAAAAGTTGATCAGCCTTTCTATTTAACAAAATGAACCATCTCCTAAGAGAGGAAAAAGATTTATGAGAAGTTATGCATCATTTTAGTAATTTAGAACCTTATCTTTTTTTTTTTTTTTTTTTTTGTCTTTATTGAACATGGTAGGAATACACGTTTTTAGAAAGTCATTTTAGGCACATGGGAATAGCAATGCCATCTCTACGTAATTTCAGCACACAAATGCAATTGTGTACCGCCCGTAGGATGTGGCAGTATCACCAGTGTGATCTTTTTCCTTTAAATTTGGGCAATACGGCGCAGCACCCTTCCGTAAGATCTCAGCGTTCATGTGGGCTATACGTGCGAAATGGCTTTGAATTGCATACTCAAGGTAGGGTAACAGAATTACTAGGAATCAAAGGGCAGGTAGAGTTACGGTGTGTTACATAATTTCAGCACAGTTCTATGAAACAGAAGAGCGATTTCATCGCCGTAACAAGTGCTTTGGGGGGAACCGCATTATTCTAGCTACCGGCCGTTTCGGTGGTACCCCGCTGGCGGTGTTTACACTGAACGCGTACATTCTCTCCCGCAGTTTCCCAGCCTAGTGACGTATTCGTTTCCCTTAGAACATCGGTCTCTTTGTACCGCTAGGTGCCAGAGCCGCGCCTAGGCACGGCTGCCGTTTCAGCGCAGACCTGGGCAGAGCGCGCTTTATAACGGCTGCTGCAAAGGCCCTGTCCTGAGCAAGGCGCCACACGCCGCCTCCGAGCCGGCGAGAAGCTGCA